TAGTATAAATATACAATTATCAAACAGCATTCATTTCCACAAGAAAATATGGTATGACGAAGAATGCGTTCTGCTCCTGGACTAACCAAAACACGGCATCGTGCTCACATTAAATCCCACCAGACAAACCTACAGACTCTCAATTTACTTAAGTAGCATTGTTACAAAAATACGGGGTACTTATTAACTATGAAGGGCTTTTCAAGTCCTAACATACACCACATCAGCAGTTTAGCGACAAATTACAATAAAATTAACCAAATAATCTTAGCCCATGTTGATAGATGCGAACGAGTACGTTCCAGAATACAGTTCGGAAGAAGATGTAATCATCTGGGCAATTAATTTATTAGCCAGACGTTTCTGATCCTTAGTCGAACCCTTCATATGAGACAGTCTCAGATAAGGGCAGTGGAACCACAAAAAGTGCAGTATTTAAAGTAGACCTCCAGGGGTGACCGCGTGAGCTGTTACTTATGGTACGCACGCGGTCGCACGGAAACTACGCACTACAAATATTGCGCCCCTTGCGCCCGCTACAGTTATCTGCGACCGTCTCTGATGGGGGGCTCGAGTGAGAATCTGAAACGTCAGGCCAATAAACCTCTTGTTCCAGTCATTGATCGCATTTTCTTCTTTGAATCTCAACTCTTTTGGCAAAATATAACTACAATTTGGAAGTTTAACACGCCATTCGAAACAAGCCGATATTAAGTTGACCATTCGTAGCTAGCATAACCTGTTCAAAAACGTCGCATCTCTAGGTCACCATGGTCAAGTCCAGTCGTTATCTTTCAGGTTCTCTGTAAGTACGTCTAGTATTTTTTAGTTTGGCTTGAGCTCACGTACTCATGTGACTTTGAGTACAGTCACCTTTTATCTAATGCGGAGTCACACAGCAGGCAAGCGTTCTTCTTCTTCTTCTTCTTCTTCTTCTTGTACTCGAAATTTTTCACACATTGATCGAATTCCACAGTATAAATGCTCCACCAGTTTCAAGATTCAGGAAGGCCTCCAGACCATTCCCCAAGTCTGCTCCTCGGGACTTCGAGAAAGTAATCGTTCATTAAAATTCCTAACGCCCCACTAGAGGTAATCATACTGCGCGCCTTGAAGACAGAGTTACAGGATATCTGGTACCAGCCAATAATGAAGGTTTGGTTGTCCAAAGGAATGCTCTATTCATCGACATGGCCAAAATAAGTAGTCATTTACCGCCGCAAACGCAACTCGAGCAAAAGTGATGGCCTTTAACGGGTCCTCTGTTCTCAAACGATTTGCCGACCTGCAAATTTAAGGAGGACGGAGTAAGAGGACATTACTCCACTCAGTAGCTCATCCTCAAAAAGGAGAATTATGATGCGATCTCTAGCATCCCGTGTACCAATCGCCCCTGCGTATATGTCGGTCATGCAGTTCGACGCCTGGGAACTCGAATTAATGAACACAAGCTAGCTGTCGTCGCCGTGACCAGTGTCCCTCGTTTCTGCGCACGCACTTCAGTGCGACCACCTTTCCGTAATCGCCACGACCAACACAAAATGGGCGAGAGAATTCATAGAGGCATGGAACTCTAATGCGGACAGCATCAACCGCCACGTTGCTATGGACGCCCGTTATGAGGGTCTGAGATCATGGCTCACTGAGTCACGCCTCATGCCTCATCAGCGGCAGCTAACCCAGCCACCCGCAGTTCCACTAATCTACCACTCTTCCTCCCATTCCAGCACGGGAAACCGCAACTGTTCTCTCACTCCCCCCTCCCCTCCTCTCCTCCCGGTTCAGAATCCACCGTGACCCTCTGCTCACACCACCTCAATCATACGCTAATGGTGTTCCTGTCAATGTCTGTCCTGTCACGTCAACTAGTCTAGCGTGATTGTCCCACTTTCTCATTTATTTTCATTCCGTCTGACGACGGGTTGGCGTCACCAACTTGCAAATTCATGAGTACAAATAGACTTGTACTAGAGGACCCATTCCTATTTCATGTACATACAGGTATTGTAATGTATTCGAGCCCCGGGTGTTGCACACTTCGGGGCAGGGTATGATTGGCCGACGACGGGTAATAAGCCAGAAATGGCAATTCCAGTCTCCCTTGTCTCTGTCGGTAATGAAATAATGCCTATATCATGCGCCGCTGTGCGGCTGCTGGTTGGGCTCGAGAGAGAGCCCGTAAAATACAACGGAACGAGTGAGTTCCGTATGAACGATCGTTGAGCGCCGCCTCATATAGTATTCATTGTATATAGCGAACATTTCAGCACCAAACAAATTCACGACGTGAATATTGAAACACAAAATGTCAATCGGTCCATGTAGAGCTTGTAGCAGCTGCTCCAGTCCCCCTTTTCTCCTGCTCCGTTTTGTCGGTCGATGACCGCGGTAAGCACTGACAGGCCGCTGACGCACGACCACCCCCGCCGGCTAGAACTGGGGCACCTCCGGTCCAGCAGCAGTGACTCCTGGCTGCCCTCACAAACTAGTATCTCCTAACGCGCGTCGAACGCTCTGGCTTGATTCCCGTGAGGCCTCGTGAGTATGCGCCCTCCATTCCTCGCCTAATTTGTCCAATCACACAACCAACACTCAGCCAAGCACCCCCTCCTGCTGACCTAGACACTCACACCCGCGTAAACAACACACACCGCGACTGACGCTCTCCGTGAACGGACGCTTTTCTCTGTTGCAAGCAAACCGCCAACTTACGGCAACCTGCCCTGTGTACAGAATAAACTAGTCCTCACAGCCCCCTGATTTCTGACAGTAGACGAAACGAACTTATTGTGCGTGGTTTAAGTTGATCTCACATCCTTGACCGCCACAAATTGTTGACCCCGAATTTCCGAACACTGGAATTCCGCAAACATTTCGTCCACAACAACAATCTTCCTGCGACCTACAGCGCGATGTCCCAAGACCAGAAGTCACTCATCAACTCAAATTCTCAAGGAGCTAGCGTACGCTTGGATCGGCTCGAGGAGGTATTAATGCGCCTGAAACCCCAGCTCACTGCAGTTACCACTAACGGCCCGCGGCGAACACCAAACCGTCGACGTACTTCCTCCGTTTCCCACACCCGCCGTTCACAATCTCCAAGTAGCGTCTGCTGGTATCACCAACAATTTGGAGGAGCAGCTCGACGATGTCTTCAGCCATGCTCTTTCAAGGCATCTGTAACGGCCTCAGGGAGACGATCCCACCCGACAGTAGAGGCCACTGCTACTGAAAGCGTTGCCAATCTTCACACTCGCCGTCTGTTTCTCTGGGACCGTATCGCTGGCGCCAAATTCCTTGTCGACTCTGGTGCCGAGGTTAGCGTGGTTCCACCAACTCCGGCCGAACGTAAAACCCGCAGCTCTTTTTGTCTAACAGCTGCCAACAACTCCAGCATCTCCACATTTGGGCAGCGTTCCATCACACTTGATTTGGGCCTTCGTCGAATTTTCCGATGCGTTTTCATTATTGCCGACGTTTCCGTCGCCCTGATAGGCGCCGATTTCCTAGCTCACTTCAATCTTCTAGTTGATTTGAAGAATCGCCGACTCGTTGACTGCATCACCGACCTTCATGCCCGATGTCAATCCGATGTGAACCCCTGCGTCAACCCTCTCACTGTTATGCCCATCTCTGACTGTCCTTTCCACTCACTCCTCAGGCAGTTTCCCCGCCCAACCAACCCCTCATTTCGTGAAGTGGACATCAAACACACAGTCACTCACCACATTTCCACCAATGGACCTCCCAAATCTTGCCGACCACGTCGTCTTGCTCCGGACCGTTTGAAGATCGCCAAGGCAGAGTTCGATCACATGCTTGAGCTCGGCATCATCCGACAGTCCGACAGCTGCTGGACATCACCCCTCCATCTTGTCCCCAAGAAGAGCGGCGACTGGCGACCGTGTGGTGACTATCGGGCGTTGAACTCAGCGACGGTCCCCGACCAGTATCCCGTCCCGCACATCCAAGACTTCCCTCATTCGCTACATGGTAAGCGAATATTCTCTAAGATCGACCTTGTGCGTGCCTACCACCAAATCCCGATAGAGGCCAGTGATGTTCCGAAGACTGCAGTGACCACTCCCTTTGGGTTATTCGAATTTACTCGTATGCCCTTTGGTCTGAGGAACGCCACTCAAACCTTTCAGCGCTTCATTGATCAGGTTCTGCGAGGTCTCGACTTCGTCTACGCCTACATTGATGATTTGCTAGTGGCTAGTTCTGACGCTGCTGAACACGAGATTCATCTTCGAAAGCTCTTCGAACGGCTCGACTCCTACGGCATTATCATCAATGCCGCCAAATGTGAGTTTGGAGTCCCCAGTCTTATCTTCCTTGGTCACGAAGTGAACTCAGATGGGATAAAGCCCGTCCCGGAAAAAGTTTCGGCCATATCAACGTTCCCCATCCCGACAACCATCAGCCAACTACGCCGATTCTTGGGGATGGTGAACTACTATCACCGTTTTCTTCCTCATGGTGCCACCATACTGCAGCCTCTCAACAGCTTGCTGACCCACTCCAAGAAGACACTAGTGATGACCGAGGAGGCCGTCAGGTCCTTCAATGACGTCAAGGCCGCACTTGCGGACGCAACATTGCTTGCCCATCCTCGCTCAGATGCCCAACTAACTCTCATGACAGATGCTTCCAGCACTGCCGTTGGTGCGTCACTTCAGCAAACTGTTGGTGGTGTTCTACAGCCTTTGGCTTTCTTCTCGAAGAAGCTCAGCCCAGCAGAGACCCGCTACAGTGTCTTCGGCCGCGAACTCCTTGCCGTTTATCTATCCATCCGGCACTTCCGCCATTTCCTCGAGGGTCATGAATTTGTTGTTCTAACAGATCACAAGCCACTCGTTTTCGCACTGAGGGCCTCTCCCGATCGCTACTCGCCCCGTGAAATTCGTCATCTCGACTTCATCTCACAGTAATCCTGCGACATCCAACATGTCCACGGTAAGGAAAATGTGGTTGCTGATGCTCTTTCAAGAATCGAGATGGCTTCCATCACAACAGACGCCATAGACTTCACGCTCATGGCTGAGGCTCAACGATCGGATGGCGAACTTCCCCAATACCGCCACGAGGACTCTTCTTTACGCCTTCAAGATGTCCCCCTTCCCACTGGCACTGGCACCATCACGTGCGACCTTTCTACCGGACACGAACGTCCTTTTGTTCCAGCAACTTTACGACGACGAGTGTTCAACGCTCTTCACAATCTATCCCGCCCTGGAGTCCGGGCGACAGTGAAACTCATCACTGACCGATTCGTCTGGCCCAACATCAACCGGGATGTACGGCGTTGGACCCGCTCCTGTTTACCATGTCAACGAGCCAAAACGCATCGGCATACTATTACTCCGCCAGGAACTTTCGCCACTCCTGATGCACGCTTCAGTCATGTGCATATTGACCTGGTAGGTCCGCTGCCACCATCTAACGGTTCTACCTATATGCTGACATGTATTGATCGCTTTACTCGGTGGCCGGTTGCTGTGCCTATTCCGGACATCAGTGCCGAAACCGTAGCAAGAGCTTTCTTGACTCATTGGGTGTCCAATTTTGGAGTTTCTGCGACTGTCACCACTGACCGCGGATCCCAATTCGAGTCCACGCTGTTTCGCGAATTCACATGCCTTCTCGGTACCAACCGAATCCGAACAACAGCGTACCACCCTCAAGCAAATGGTCTCGTCGAACGCTTCCATCGACAGCTGAAGACTTCCCTTATGGCCCAGCCCGATCCTTCCCGATGGTCTGATCACCTTCCCCTGGTGCTGTTGTCCCTCCGTTCCACTCTCAAGGCCGACATCGGTTGCACTGCAGCTGATCTTGTCTACGGAACCTCCCTACGACTGCCCGGTGAGTTAGTTTCTCCTTCAAACACGCTAACGTTTTTTGAACCCTGCAGTTATGTGGAGCGACTATGTAGTGCCATGCGCAATCTCCGCGCAACGCCCCCTCGGGCGTCACCGGCCAATTCCTTCATCCCACCCGACCTGGAGAAGTGCGATTTCGTCTGGGTTCGGCATGACGCTGTCCGACGACCACTCCAACCACCCTATCACGGGCCGTATAAAGTCCTTCGTCGATCTGACAAAGATGCTGTCAACGACCGCAACGGCAAGACCGACACAGTCAGCATCGATCGCGTCAAGCCGGCCTACATCGACGACAGTAACCATTCCTCCCCTCAACAACGCACCCCGCCTCAGACAGTGCGGCCTCCTCCACCTACTGGCGACAGCCCGCCTCCGGTTCGCCGCACACGATCTGGTCGCCACGTCCACTGGCCCGACAGGTTTGTGGCTGGCTAGCGTGTCGACGCCTTCACTTTGTTTGGTGTCTGGGGGGGAGTTGTAGCAGCTGCTCCAGTCCCCCTTTTCTCCGGCTCCGTTTTGTCGGTCGATGACCGCGGTAAGCACTGACAGGCCGCTGACGCACGACCACCCCCGCCGGCTAGAACTGGGGCACCTCCGGTCCAGCAGCAGTGACTCCTGGCTGCCCTCACAAACTAGTATCTCCTAACGCGCGTCGAACGCTCTGGCTTGATTCCCGTGAGGCCTCGTGAGTATGCGCCCTCCATTCCTCCCCTAATTTGTCCAATCACACAACCAACACTCAGCCAAGCACCCCCTCCTGCTGACCTAGACACTCACACCCGCGTAAACAACACACACCGCGACTGACGCTCTCCGTGAACGGACGCTTTTCTCTGTTGCAAGCAAACCGCCAACTTACGGCAACCTGCCCTGTGTACAGAATAAACTAGTCCTCACAGCCCCCTGATTTCTGACAGTAGACGAAACGAACTTATTGTGCGTGGTTTAAGTTGATCTCACATCCTTGACCGCCACAAGCTGAACATTAGTATCTGTAAGTAGATGATAGCTTTAATGGTAGGAAGTAATGATAAACCGTTAACTAATTCTTCTTTTAAACGCAGATCACCGGCTGAGCAAACTCTAAGGCGTAAACTACCTCAGAGGAGCATACCAACAGAAGTGGAGGAAATAAGTGAAATACTGAACTCCCATAAGATGTTGAAATATTGCCAATGTAGAGGACTGCTTCTCAAAAGTTGGAAAAGTTAGTGTCGTTGGACAATGCGACAGCAAATTCTCAGTAAACACACTGACGGTTTTGTCTTCAGATGTAACCATTGTGACAATACCAAGGCGCTGCGAACAGGTTCAATATTTGATGCCAGTCACCTAACAATCAAGAAGGCCTTAAAAATCTGCCTGTCATTCGTAAAAGGAGCCAGAGTGCGGCAATGCCAAAGGGAAGTGGAAGTTTGCCATACAGCGGCAGTGGAATGGTACGGCAAAGGAAGCCCTCGGAGCAAAAAGAAGGAGGTAGTCGAACAAGTGAACATCAGAACCTAGCAATTCGTCCGGCCGAGAATAACGAAATGGGTAGCGAAAGGCTTTGTGATAGCGACGGACGAATGGAGAGCCTACTCACGCCTGCCGTCTATGGAATATGAGCATTATAACGTAAACCATATAAGAAATTTCGAGGATGCAACCAAAGATTGACAAATTAATGCAGTTGAAGCGTACCGGTGCCTCCTGAAAATAAGATTACATGAAGGAGACCGCGTGCCACGCCGACCTATCTGTCGAGATACAATATAGTTTATGGCTTGGACTAAACACGACCATCCTAGAAAGCCATGGGAAACCTTCCTGTCCAACATAGGAGGGGGGGGGTGTATCCCGTGAAAAAGCCGAGTAATTGATAAGCCTGATGGAACTGGTTCGTTGTAAGAATTTTCATGTGTACAAAGTAAACTTAAAATATTCAGCCTCTGATATACCGTTGATTGCGGAGAAAACTGTTGCATGACATCTAGCATGTCTGGGACGAGGAGCACAATAATGAATCTATATAGACACCCCTACAACGCCTGGTTCTCGAGGAGGTTGTTTGCAAAGTCAATAGCACAAGCCGGTGAAACACTTAGACCAAGCCAAAGCCAAGGCCTAAGTGGAGCACGGGATAAAATTCAATCGAACAACACCTACTTAATCAAATACAGTAGCCAGTCTTGTTAACTATTAGAGTTTAACACTAAGCAAAATTTCCCTCAAACTCACCTTGTTCACCGAATAAACCACGAAGATATATCGTCTACAGGACATTTTGCGCGGCTGAGGTAACTAGCTTTCTTATTTTTGCCTGACCTATTTACGTTAGATCAAAGGTCTTCCATGTGCTCTCCTTAGTCGTCGTTGAAATCGGTTCAACATATTTAATGGAAATCTGGTGTTTTTTGTTCATGTCTTTCATTCAGTCTTTTGGTTACGAACGCCACTTTCAGCTCACTTTTATAGGGGAAAAGATAGGCGAACGCCTTTGAGCTCCCCGCTGGTTTCAGATAACCTAAGAAAAGCACTGCTAAATGGAAAATTGGAAGAGATGTTTTATGCCTAACTGTCCGGAAACCAAGCAGCTGTCTGCTGGTAGAAAAGGCTAAACATGAACGCCTACGCACACACTGTGAGTACTATAGACATATGTAAGTTCAGCGATTTGCCATGTGGCTACATGTTGCTTATAATTGGGCAGCTTTGTGCGTGTCGAGTTTGCACAGAAGAAGATTCCAACGGTACTGGGAAGGGCATTCTCTGATGCAACCGCTTTGTTACTTAAAACTTTAGTCCATTGGCACTTGCTTTCGTAGGGGGGGGGGCAGTTTAAGGAAATAACTACACGAAGTGGACGTGTTAGCCTCAGCGAAAAAAATCACATGGGGAAAAATCAACAATCCAGGCCATTCAAGTGTCATTCAGCTGACCGATATTCGATCAAACGCAGAGGATTAATTGATTGACTGGCTGATTGTTGACGCCTGCACTAATTACTGTAATTTCATAAACATAAATGTGAATCCTATTGTTTGTTTTAAAAGGCCGGTGGATGCATGACCGCGGAGAAGGAAGCCCTAATAAGCGTTCTCAGTCGCCTTTAATATAATGCGTTCTGAACAATGGCGAACCTTTTTTAACCGTTTTATTTGATCAAAATCCTTTATCGAAGAAGTTTATTGTTATGGTGGCAGGGTTAAATGTTTTGATCAGACTATGAATACAGTCGATATCGCCACAATTGATCGAACATTTTTGACACTATGCTGGTTGCTATTCGTACATATTGTCAACAATCTGTTATAATTTGCAACTGGAAATCAACTATTCTACAGGACAGCACAGTGTTCGCAAGGATTTCATGAGAGTATCGATTCGAAAAGGTCATCGCTGTTGCCAGAACGAAGTTGACTCACTTTTAAAAGGTGCTCTTGATATAGCGAGATGCAATGATCGTGGTTTTATTAGATAGAAACCGATGAAAGAGTCCGTTTCTTAACGGCCTCCGCAACTATTCATATTCGTCTCAATTTCCACATACTACCGAGGACAACACTTGCAAACCTTGCCTGCGTATATCCGTTATGTATACAAAAACGTATCATCGCCGAGGCGGACCTCGCTAATAGCAATCAGGGTGCCACCTCAGTTGTAGTTCATTTTTCTTTAGGAATATTTAACTATATGTGGCCTAGTTAAAAACGCAGTGGGGTTTTATTTTCAAAATAGGCTCACCTAACAAACGGAGCACTTTTATATTATTAACTTTAGAAGAAGGCAGGTCCTTGGTGGTATGAACAAAATGAAGGAACATTGGTTCGTAGATGCTTGTTCAGAATCTGCAGATCAAAGCTCGTAATCAAAAGGTCAGTGTTTAGAAGACGAAAATTACTTTACAGAGATCTAGCACAATGTTTCAACCTAATTAGCATGCAAAGGCCGTATGCGGTTCAATAAGATTACGCGAAATTTTAGAATGTTGTAGGATTATGAAAAAAATTGGTGTCTTTTTGAATCTAAATTTGATCACGAACAACAAATTTCATTTCGCCGATCGGGTGAGGAACTGATCCTCGAGACTGCAATAACTCATGGCAGATTCGATAAGGATATGATGCTTGAGACAACGAAAATTCTGCAGGCGGAAGGATCACATGAATCACCCCGCAATCCCATGGTCCGGGCCAATGACGGAGTGCCCCAGTTCCCACTTCCACCCCTCACTTCCGCCGTCCACGAGACTGACTACC